GCTTTCTGCAGCTACTCCGTACACTTGCGGGTAGTGAAAATATTTTGCGAACACTTGACCACATGAAAATTAAATCCATGTCATTTCCTTCATAGTGCCACCTCATTAATATGCATAACAACTGCAAAATAAACACAAAATCCGAATATTGGTGTATGTCCGTTCCCAAAATAAAATACGTGAGAAAACTTAATTAATACACTAGAATCAAATAATCAAATATATAAATTGAATCACAAAATAGTACAAATTTTCTCACTTATCACCATAATGTTAATATTTATGGAGAAATAAATCAAAGTTAGTAAACAAAATATCTAGTTATTTTTCCTTTTTGGTATTGGAGGTTACATTTTAGGGAGAAGCTACGGTACTACTCAATCGAGGTTTGTACCATTTAAATCAACTATCCTCGATGGTTACTTGATGATCTAATGGTTACAAACCCCGACGGAATGGTTTCGTAACGAGACTGTAACATTTCTCTACAATTTAATTGGATTTGGTCGTTAAATTTTCTAAAATCAATAGCGATTGAGGATTTCAAATCATAAACCATTTTGAATCTCTAAACTCAAACTATTCAACAGTACCATACATTTCATCATACAAAACTTCGAAGTTTGTCATCATATTCAATCAGGTTTGTGGCGGCCAAGGCAGTCTATCTCCATCAGATTACCAACTGAATCTCTCAATCGTGAACAATAAGCCAACAAAAGTTCTAATATTTTGCGAGTTGTGGCGGCTATATTGTCGTTGATTGGAAGACCCGATTAATGATTGTAAGAGCATCTCCAATGCTCTAATGTTGTTGTAAAATAATTTTTGACAAATGTCAATAAATTAAATAGATTGTGAACCATGTAGGAAAAATATTAAGTTTACAACTATGAAATTAAAAAATTATCTCCAATGCACAATGTAGTCTAACTACAATTCTATTTACTTACCAAATATAAAATTTATAATATATAATAAGAAACATTAATTAAATAATTAAATTGCTTGGAATTGGTAAGAGTTATTCTCACTCTTCTTTTCATTGGCTAGCTACAAAGTGGAGGAGAATGTGAATGAACCACATTCTTCTCTACATTGTAGACATTAGTTATGTCCAAGTCATCACAAAGGGAAGTGTTCAAATTTGTTGAAGAAGTAACTCACTCAAAGATCTTGAACTGGAAAGGTAAATTCCTAAGTGCTGCTGGTAAGGAGACCTTAATCAAATCTGTTATTAACTCTCTGCCGGTTTACATCATGTCATGTTTCAAAATTCCAAAGGCGGTTTGTGATAATATTAACAGCAAAGCTAGGACTTTTTGGTGGGGAGGAGCTGTTGAAGGTTCAAAAAAACTAGCTTGGGTAAGTTGGGAGAAGATGTGTGCTACAAAAAATCAAGGCGGTCTGGGATTCAAGAACCTTGAAGTTTTTAATGTTGCTCTACTGGCCAAACAACTCTGGCGCCTTATTACCAAGCCTAATTTGTTGATGAGTCAGATAATGAAAGCAATATAGTTCCCTACTGGTGGCATTCTTAATGCTAGAATCAAACAACATGACTCTTGGATCTGGAAGAGTTGGGCAAAAGCTAGGGAGGCACTTTTTATTGGCTTAAGGATGAAAGTTGGGGTGGAAAGAATATCAGGATCTGGGAAGCCCCGTGGGTTCCTAATCTGGTAAAATTCAAGCCTAAAGGAAAATTTGGCAGAGCTTTAGAAGTTTAGTGGGTGAGTGATCTGCTTTTGGAGAACAAAAAAGAATGGAATACCCCATTGATTCAAAGATTATTCACAGATCAAGAGGCCACTGAAATCCTTAACATTCCTCTTGTGGATTCTGATAATAGGGACAGGTTCTTTTGGGAGAAGGAAAAAAGTGGCATTTTTTCTGTTAAATCCTGTTATAATGCAATATTGGACAGGAAGAAGATGGTGATTGCAAACCCGGAGAGTAGCACAGATGCAGCTACCAAGAGGAAAATGTGAAAAACAACTTGGAGTCTCCAGATAAAACCTAAACTCAAAGTTTTCCTATGGAGATGTATTTATAACTCTCTCCCTGTGGAGATGTATTTATAACTCTCTCCCTGTGGCTGAAAAGTTGAGCATCAAAGGCATTATTTCATCACCTCTGTGTTGCTTCTGTGGGGAAAAGGCTGAAAACCAAAACCATATTTTCTTCAATTGTGAAAGGGCACAACTTGTCTGGAAATTATCCCCAATTTTCTGGGATACAACACAGGTCAGAACAGATAATTTTTGTGGATGGTGGTCTGACATTTGCAATGCAAGCAAAGGAGAGTGTTGGGAAGACAGATTGGAACTCTCTGTGTACCTTTTATGGTGGTTATGGAGAACTAGAAACCTGTGGCTCTTTGAAAAATCTGTTATACCAGAAATTGAAATAGTAGATAAAGCTAGAGTAGAGTGGATGGAATTCAAAAATGTTCACCTAGTGTCAACATCTTCTCTTTGTAATTCAGTTGCTGTTGATAACACAGTAGGGCAAATCTTTATATTTGTCAGTGCTTGTGTTGTTCCAGGGGTTGGTTGTGGTTTGGGATGTATTGCAAAATCAGTAGATTCTGAGGTGCCTTACAGAGCTTGGCAAAATTCAATTGCAGCATGCTGGGACCTAGAGGAAGTTGTGCTCACTGCTATTCAACAGGCCCTTTGGAAGTCTTTCATGCTGAATTGGAGGAGCATTACAATTGTGGTTGATGATGAGGTTATGATCAGAAAGATTACTCTTCCAGGAAACTTCCAAGTGCACTTGAAGACTATAACCGAAGACATCCTCCAATTGGCTTCTCTTTTCTCTTGCTGCTCTTTTGCTTTTGATTTGAATCCTTCTTTGGATAGTTGTTCTAGTCTTGCATTAGATTCAGCTATCTCTTCTTGTAACCATGAGTGGTTTGATTGTATACCAAGTTGGAT